AGCAACAGCACTGTCCCTCCAGGGGGGCCCAATCTGCCCCCGAAAATGCAGGGGGATCTTGCCCGTGTCCCAGACTGCTCCGGGGATCTGAGGGTCTTCCCGAGAACATCTCGGTGCCGGCGTGAAGGCCCAGAGATCCCTGGGCACACCAGGAGAGCAGGCGCAGAGTCCCTGCCTGGGGCCAATTTGGCTGCCTCAAAACAGCTCGGCAAAGAAGCCTCTAAGACTCAGCTGGGGAGTTTTAGAAGCCAGGCATTCCTTGCTGACAACACCCTGCAGTGATCCCAGCCCACCGGGGGCCCTGGCCATCAGCTCCCACAGTGCACACAGAGGTGCCTCTGCTGCAGCTGATGGGAGGACTCAGCATTCCCTGAGGGTTCATTTTGTTCCCTGCATTCCTGTTCCACGCTCAGGACATTTCCCAACACCTGTTCCCATACACACAAACTCTCATAAGGTCTCTGAGGGGCTCCCTTGGTGCTCTCTGGTGGTAACCTGTGCCTGGAGCCCCCGAAATTCTAAGTGACCACCTTATCAACTTCAAGTCACTTCACCTGGTTGCAGAGTACGTGGTGCTTTTCTGCTGCCCTAGTTCCCCTCTTTATTCTTTCTTTAGAAAAGGAGTAAAAAGTGTTAATGCAGCACAAACAGACTAAGTGAGACTAGTCTTTGCCTCATAACCAGGTAACGGGGAAAGGTTTTGGAGTTCCAAGGCAAACCCTGCTCTTACCGGTACAAACTCCCAGGCTCGGCACACCTGTGGTCGCAGAGCAGCTTCCCGAGGTCCTTCTCTCTCCCAGCAGGAAGCACACCTCGCCACGCTCCGCCAGCACCAGGGAAACCACGAGGGAGGCTGGAAACTGACACAGAACGAGGAAAGAGCTTTAAGTCGGCACCAAAGCACCGCCCAGCTGCCCCGTTCCAGGGGCACGGAGCACACGGTGCTCTCCCATGCCCAGCCCAGCCCAGCGATCCCAGCCCAGCCCTCACGCTCAAGCAGCGGGGGCTGCGCCAGCCCCGCCCGCCCTTGAATAGCGCGGCCCAATCAGCGCTCGAGCGCGGCTCCCGCCGCCGCCTCCGCAGCCCCGGCGGGCGCTGCTGGGACCAGGGAAAGGCGGGGGGAGCTCCGCGGTCACGTCCCGTCCGGGAGCTCTCCCGGGACAAGGGGAAGGGGGAGAGGCGGCGGAGCCTGCGGGGACAGCGGCGTTCTTGGAGACAGGCAGGGAGGGGCCGGGCGGCCAGGGGGCGGGGCCAGTGCGTGCAGGGGGCCGGGGCCAGCACCATCCCGCCGCGTTTGGCTCTGGGCTTTGGGGTTCTTTTGGGCTCGATTTAGGTGCGGGTTTGGGGGATTATGCACACTGTCCCGGGTCACAGTCCCGCCCCAGCTCGCTGCACCTGCTGCGCTCCCCGCACCCCTTGCACTGCTGCAGGGACATCCCCCGGGGAGCAGCAATCGCAGCACCGGCAGCAATCCCGGGTACGGACTGTGTCAGTATCGGGGCTCCTCAGCCCCGCCCCCGGCCCGCCAAGAAATTAGAATAAAGCTGTCTAATGTCTGACGTACAATACGTTAGAAAGTAATCATCTTTCTACCTGTGGAACATTAATCAGATTAAACACTGACCTCAGTGCAATTTCCCCTGGTGACCTTTACTGAGGAAACAAGAATTCCTGTCTCACATACTAAAAGTAATCGCGGCAAAGCAGAATTTCTGTAAACTTTGGTGTTATGGTTCTCCCCAAGCTCTTGAAACAGAACTAAACCTCCCTCCACTGTCACACAACATTCAGTTCTGCACAGAAGCTGCCCTTCTCTGTAATTATCCTGTCCCCGGCTCCTTCTCCATCAGCCATAGGGCTGCAGGGAACACCTGCCCTGCGAACAGGTAAGCCCTGAACCTGCTCTTGGGGTACCATGTCCACAGTCTTCTGGGAGCAGAGAGCAAAATCTAGAGTGGCATACACTAAGAAAGGGTAATTTTAGCTCTGTGGCCCTAAAAGGTGATGTTTTCTGTTCTTTAAGCACTTCAGCAGAGTTATGAAGGTGAAGACAGAGATTTTTAATGGTTTGACACAGGATCTTGTCTTTGCTCCATGAAAAGCTGTGAAACGGCCACTGCACAGGCACTGTCCCTTTCCCAAATCCATTTGAATCCAGCACAAACAACTTACCAGCTATTTTCCCCTCCGAGCAAGATCAGCCTGTCCAGAGGCAGAGTTTCAACAGGACCTCCTGAAAGCCAAATAATTGTTAAAACCAACAGATCTGTGCAACTCCCCCTTTCTGCCTCACACTGCCAGAGGGCAGGTTTGGTGGGATATTGGGAAGGAATCGTTCCCTGTGAGGGTGGGCAGGCCCTGGCACAGGCTGCCCAGAGAAGCTGTGGCTGCCCCTGGATCCCTGGAAGTGTCCAAGGCCGGGTTGGACGGGGCTGGGAGCAGGGCTGGAGTTGCTCCTGCTGGGTGATAGTGAAAGGATCAATACAATTTTATCCTGTAAAGTGCAACGATCATTGTCAGAAAGATAAACTCCAACAATCACAGCCAGAAAGATGAACTCCACTCCAGCTGCGCCACCCTGAAAGCCTGGCTTTTGTTACACTAGGAGTGAATTACCCAGTTCTGCTGCTGTTGTTGCTGCACTATTGATCCACTCCCTGCTACAGCTTTATCATGTGGTCAGCTGGGATCAC